TTGTAAAAAAATGTTATATCGTATTGCATATTATGTATATCAACAATGATCCTGTTCAAAATTGCTACTCTTCAAAGTTCTAATTATTCATTACTTTAGTAATAGTGTATGATTTAACGAATTAAGGTTGCATTATTCAGGTTAATGAGTTATCAGAATTTTTAAACCTTTAGTCATATGGTATAGCCCAAATTGTAGGCAATATATATATATATTGCTTATATAGTTCACAAATCAGTTTTTTTTGTACTAATAAAAAAAAATGACTACCAAATTCGAACCTATCTGATAAATTTAAAGATAGTTAAAAAAATTCATATGAAAGCAAGTTTACCCAACATCTGTAATGAAAATATAATAATGCTTATTAATGAGAAGTGTGTGAATTTAAAAATAAATTGTAATCTGACATATCATGGTCTTGAATATGAAAATATATAAAAAAAGACTTTCTTTCAAATAATTTGATTAGTAGATTAAACGTATATGTAATAAACAACTTTATCCTTACTATTCTATTAATGAAAATTTTATCATGGAATCTTCATCTTCTTAACCTCCTTCTGGTTTTACGCTTCTTAATATAAAAATATATAATAATCGTTGGAATAGATTTTGGTGCTCTATAGAAAAGATTACAAGCAACAGATATACAGCGAAGTGTATCTATTGTAATAATGAGTTGCCTGGCTATCCTGATAAACTTCACACTCATGTTCTTTCATGCAATAGCTGGTCTGCTGCTGAGAAAAGTATTTATATTAAGAAAATTACTAGCTCTACTTCTAAATCTTCTTCTAAGTCTCAAAAGAATGTTAAAATTAGTTCTAACTCTGATAATGAAGAATCTATGTATGTCAATAAAAATAAGATAATACAAGTAAAGTAATTGTTACTCATAACTAGAGATACAGGTGAATCATCTCAATAATACTATAACTTTGCTGCAACATGCTACAATAATATTAAATAATTATAAAAAGTTACAGCAAATGTGCTGTAACTTTTTATAATTGCTTAATATAGTTATAGCATATTACAGCAAAGTTGCGATATCATTAGGACAATTCACCTGCATCTCTACTCATAACATAGAATTCTAAAAGTAACCTATCCTAGCTTTTAGTTTTTAATTATAAGTTTTTTATCTAAAAATTTTTTTTTAAAAACTAATCTGAAAATATTAATAATAAATAACTTATAAAATTTTGTATCAAAGATTTACAAAGACTAACCTGACTGGATTATGAGAAACAATTAATTAATTTTATATGGCCTAATCATAAATATAAAAAAAGTTTAATTAGTAATCTTATATGTTATTAATAT